GTGCCCTCGGGCAGGAGAATTGCTGGCGGAGTGGGGTGCGTGTAGGGGTACCTATCGGCAGAGCTCAAAGAGCTCAACACTTGCCTGACAGAGAGGCGAGCCTGAGGGCACAGCAGAGGGGAGACCGTCCTGATGGAAGAATCGTACCCTGAGCACGTTCCTGGGCCTGAGTTGTGGCCTGTTGCTTCCCTGATAAGCCCTATGATCGTATTTTCTGTGAGTTCTGTGTGGCCACTGCAATGGATTGTGGAACCCAGCAGAGAAGCACTGAGTGCCTGCCGCAGGAGGAATGGCTGGCATCAGAGTTGGTGACAAGGCTGGAGGGTGGTGGCGAGTCTGGCCTCAGGCATCAGCCTTGGGCTGCTGAGGGTGATTCCGTCTCCCCCTGTGAAGTTAGAGGAGACAGAGGACGCTGCCTCCATGGCAGGCAGGCAGGCCTCCCAGGCCCCACCACTGGTTAGGACATCAGCACATTCTGACTGTCAGGACCTCCTCTGGCGTCATGAGTGTGGGCTCCCCGGGCTACATGGGTCCTGGTTGCTGTGGAGTCAGCCCTGACTCATGGCAACCTTGTGCCCAACAGAACAAAATGCTGCCTAGCCCTGCACTGTTGTCATGGCTGTTGGTATATGTGAGCCTGTCATCCGAGCTCTGGTTAAAGCATTGGGCTGCTAACCAAAAGGCCACCACTTTGAACCCACCAGCTGCTCTGTAGGAGAGAGATGAGGCAGTCGGCTTCCATAAAGATTACAGCCTTGGAGACCCTGTGGGCAGTTCCACTCTGTCCTCTAGGGGCGCTGTGGGTCGGAATGGACTCCAGGCCATGGGTGTGGTTTGGTCCCAGCCAGGGGGTTCATTGTCCAGCACTTTGCAGGACAGTGTTCTCTTGTGATCCACAGCCTTGTCACTGGCTAGTTTTCAGAAGTAGATCACCAGGCCTTTCTTCCTGGTCTGTCTTAGTCTGGATGCTCTGCTAAAACCCCCGTGGGTGAAATACCGGTGGCACAACTCCCAGCTTCCCAGCAACACACAAGGTGCCCCAGAATGACACACGTGGATGGTGGTGGAAAGCTCCGTTAAGGGTGTCCTGGTTCCCTAGTGTCTCTCTGACAGGAATATACCACACATGGGATGCTTTAACAAACAGGAGTGTATTATCTTACAGTCTGAGGCTTTAAGTCCGAGTTCCACGTGCCAGGCTCTAGGGGCTGGGTGAAAGCCCCTCAACCTTGGGGTCCAGATCTGCTTCCTGCTCCCAGCCCACTGAAGCTGGAGGCTTTTCTTCACTCAGACAGCTGCTGGCTGCTGAGGCCGACAAGCCCAAGGATGACAAGTAAAAAGGCACGGCCCCGATGTTACCAAGCCACATGGCAGGCCATTGATTCAAGTCTATTGAAAGTCCCAGGGTCGGCAGAGCATGGCAGGCTGTGGAACAACGAAACGGCTACATGCAGGGTCCACGCGTGCCATAAGCTAGAAATCGTTCCCCAAGGCTTCTGCTTATATACAGGAAGCAGACCACATCCCTAAGGCTGCTCCCAGTAGATCCCACCATGGAGTTGATTGCCAGTCTCATCATGTGGAATACTGCATCCAGCTGCCCAGCCACTCAGCCAGGCCCAGCCAAGTTGACACACAAAGTTAACCACCACGTAAAGGTAGCTAGATGGATTATGGCATTTGAGGATAATCATTGAGAATTACTTGGGGTCAGGCAGGGGCCCTGGGAAGTCTTCCTCAGATTTGATTGTAAGGGATGGATATGGTTATAAAAACATCCAGCACTGTCCAGAGGTGCGTGGCAGGCGCTCACCTGCAGAGGCGCACAGTGGGTGCTTACGTGGCGTTTGTCTGCATGAGCTTCCCTCCACTGTCACCACGGGCAGTGGGAAGAGAGGTCAGGGCCCCTGACCCAGAGCTGGAGTGCTGCGGCTGGGACCTGAGGTCACGGTGATGGTTGGGGTCGTGGTTATTCCGTGGGGAAAATTGGGTTGCTCACATCTCCAGAGTCCTGTGCACATTTTTAGAGATGGAAATTTCCCTTAACTGACTTTCAGGCTGTGAGAGAAAACAGCTGACAGTCAAAGGGAAATTGAAAACTGCTGACGTGTTTTGCCCTCAAAGTGCCCTTGGTTGTCATGAGTAATCCACGCTCTTCCCTTGGTCCCCGCCCTGAGTTCCGACCAAAGCTGTAAATGATGCTGGACCGCCCAGCCCTGAGGTCGCCGGCAAGGGAAGGGCTGAGCAGTGTTGGCTGGCACTGCTTCAGAAGAGCGCCAGCAGTGGGTGAGGAGACGCCTGAGTGCGGCACGGGGCCACAGGCTCCCCAGCTGTTAGGCGGGAGCTCAGGTCCCCAGGAACGCAGGTCGTGGTGTTGTGGGGGGCCCTGCAGCAGACCTGCTGGGTTCAGCTCTGAGCCCGGCGGTGCCTCTATCCCCCCCTCTGTGCAGTGGAACGACAATTGCGCCTGTTCCGGAGGCTCCTGGGAGGTTTGTCCATGCCGAGTGCCCAGGCAAGGCTCCCAGCAGATGGAGTGTGGGGTAAGGCCCACCAGTGCCGGCTGGCCCACGCTGCCCACCCCAGAGCCTGCGGGCCTGCTGCCCCCTCCTCATGGGGCACATTGTCACCCTGCTGTTGAGTGGGTGTGCGGCACGCTGCTGCCAGGCGCTGGCCCCGCGTGGTCGTGTGGTGGACGTTACTAAGTGCTTGCTGCTCTGGGTGTGTAAACGGGCACACGCTGCTGGCAGGCCCCTGTCCCGTCTGTCACTGTCCCACTGAAGCAGGCGCTGATGAACTGGGGGGTCTGCAGAGCCGCCTCCAGCATCACAGTGGGCTCCCTCGGGACGAGCTTGGCGTTCGCCACAACCCTGCCCCGTGGGCCCTGCCGGAAAGGTTGCAGCTCAGCTCTGCACTCTGGACAGCACACCGATGGACAGACAGACAGACGAGAGCTGGGTGGAGAGGCAGGCACGCAGGCAGGCAGGACGGGAACAGGCTGACCGTTGATGGAGCTGGGTGTCTCTGGTGTTCTGGGCTCCTCCGAGGCAGTTGTGGGCAGAAGTCCTATTCTTCATCTCCATTGTCACGGACAAGCTCACCTTGTCGTTAGTGAGGCTGAATGTCCATGCAGCAGGCGCTGGGAGCAAGCCGCGTGCTACCCAGGAGGTGTTCGTGCCGCGTTGGACCCGACAGGAACCGGGATGCACTGCAGACTCGCGTCTCTGGGTGGTCTGCCTGACCCTGCACTCAGCCAGTGTGCTGGCCTGCCCGCCACGCCCTCGCCGTCACCGCTCGGCGGCCTGGCCTCCACGCCCTCGCCGTCACCGCTCGGTGGTCTGCCTGGTCCTATGCTCAGCCAGACAAGGTGTGCCCGTGTGTCTTCTCGCCAGCCTTCATGTCCATGCCTAGATGCTTCTTGAAGCCTTGGCCTTCCAGGCTTTCGCACAAGCCGTCCCCTGCCCCGTCTGCCATGGTGGGCCCCAGGTCCGAGCCTCCCGCCCCGTTCCCTGCCCCTGCACAGTCTGATCTCACATTTGGGAAGGATCACTAGGCGCAGGGCCATGCCCTTGGTGGTAGAATTGTTCTTGTTCTGGTCTCCTGTCCCTACGAGGGGCAAGTAATGCCCCGTAGAGCCCCGCCGAGCCTCGCCTGGCTGCGACCCGCAGCGAGGACGTGTTTGTGTCTCAGCTCTGTCACCCACCTGCTCTGTGGCACTGAGACGGGGCCTCGCTGCCCTCCTGACTCACGGGGGACACCCCAGACTCCCCTGTGGAGGGCGAGGCCAGCTGTGTGTGCGCGTCCAGTAGCTTCTGACGTGGATTGAAACCCAAAGCCTGTGGCTGTGAGTCAACTGACTCCTGGCCCCTCTGTGGGTATCAGAGCAGAGCTACACTCTGAAGGGTTGTCAGGGGCGGGTTTTATGGATGCATGTAGCCAGGCTTTCTTCCCAGGCTCCTGGAGGTGTGCTCAAACCTCCACCCTGTGGGTGAGCGGCCAAGCACGTGAGGCACTTACACCCCCAGGACCCTTGATTGACACCAGGTACTGGTTTCCATCCGTGACTCGGGATCCTGAGAAGTTCACTTCCAGTGAGTCCATGGAACCCTGGTGGGGCACTGGTTAAGGGCTTGGTGCTAACTGAAAGGTCAGCAGTTCAAACCCACCAGCCACTCCATGGAAGAAAGGTGTGGCAGTCTGCTTCTGTAAAGAATTAGGAGCTTGGAAACTCTATGGGACAGTTCTACCATCCTGTGGGGTCGCTGAGAGTCGGAATTGACTCGGCAGCAGTGAGTTTGGGTTTTGTGTCTTTTCTGGCAAGTCATGACCAAACCAAAAACCAAACCCACTGCCGTTGCATAGATGCTGGCTCACAGCACCCCTAGAGGGCAGAGTAGAACTGCCCCCTGGGGTTTCCAAGGCTGTCAGTCTTCACAGAAGCAGACTGTCCATCCTTCTCCCCCAGAGCAGCTGGCGGATTCACACTGCCGACCTTTTTGTTAGCAGCTGAATGGCTTAACCACTGTACCACCAGGCTTAGCTGCACATTCCCGGAACGCCTTCCCCACGGGGGACTCAGGCTCAACCCCCCGCCCAGTGTCCTGGACGTGTGCCACTGTCTGTCTGTCTGTCAGTCTGTCAGTGGGGGCTTGTGTGTCGCTGACCGGGACTGGAACCAGGCACGAGAACTCCCACTGGCCCACCACTGTCCACTGCCCTGGGTCAGGCCGGGAGGCTTTATCAGCGGTGCCAGTAACATCCTGACAGGCCACTCGGCTCTGGTGACACGGCTGAGCCCACCGTTAGGGAACGTGGCGTTCTGTGAGCGTGTGTACCTTGTCACTTCTCCAGCACGTTGTGGGGCGAAGGCTCTATCCAGGCCTGTGCTGTCCTTGGGCTAGGAAGTGAGGTGACGCCAGTGAGGAGCAGCCAGCTGGGTGCTGCACGTGCCGTGGGGACAGTCTCAGGGCTGGGCGAGGGCAGGGCACCCGCTCAAATGGGAGGCCACCCCAGGAAGGTGGCCAGGGTCTTGGGGTGCACAGGGACAAAGATTGGAAAGAGACTGGAAGTGGCGGTTTGCGTCTGGAGGTGTCTGACTCATGCTAGGGGCCTGGGAGGCTGGGGGCCTTGGCAGGGAGTAGGCCGGGGCCGGGCTGTGAGGAGCCTGGACAGGTAGAAGTCGCTGGCTCTGGCCGCAGTGTGGGAGGACGAGCCGTCAGGCAGGGTGGTGACCCAGGGGCAGATACGCAGGGCGGTGACCCAGCACCAGGGTGTCTCTGGTCAGGAGTACAGAGACCTAAGGGGGCGATTTGGGAAGTGTGACTGAATGGGCTTGGGGAGGGACTGCAGTTGGAGGCGGGAAGGATCGGCCAACAGCCAGCTCTCTTCTGGGCTGGAGAGTGGGTGGGCAGTGCCCTGCTCACCAGGCTAGTGACTAGAGGAGGAGGAAGGAAGATTCTGGAAGGAGAGGAGGGGTCACAGAGATGGGACTAGAGTGAGAAGCTTGGGTTCATGGGATATGCACAAGGTCGGTCCAGTGGCCTCCCAGGTATCTGGGTATTAGGGATCGACGTGTGTCCTTCAAAAATGCGTTTTGTAAATCCTAACTGCTGTAGCTTTGGGCTTCTTTGTTATGTCAGTGAGACAGGATCACCTTTGAGATACAAACCGAGCTGATCAGGCAGAGAGCAGGAAGCAGAGATGTGGGGACAGACCCCAGGCCACAGGAAGTCTCCCAGGAACTGAGGTGAAAGGGGAGGAGGACCTTCCCAAGGGCCACGGAGGGACAGAGCCTCCCCCGGAGCGGTGCCCTCACTGCGGACTTGTGGGCTCTTAAACTGTGAGAAAGGGAATTTCGGTTGGATAAAGCCCCCACCTGTGGTATGTTACCATGTGCCAGGGCCTGAGACTCTGGGTCTCCAGCGCAGAGGGGAACCGCAGTAACCTGGCAACAGAGCCTGCCTTGTCCTGGGCCCGGAAGGCGTCCTCCTGACCATGTGACACTGGCGTCCGTGTCTCCTGTTTGGAGGCGTCCTCCTGACCGTTGAGGACCAGGTTCCGCTCGACCTCTGCTCACCCCTTCTCCGCTGCCCTTGTCAGGGTGTCTGATGTGCCTTCTCCGGACGTGCTCCTGGTCACCTTGCCCTGGTCCAGGTCCAGTCTGCTCTGGGAAGCAGTCTCTCTCTGGGTCCCTCCAAGGTGGTGGTATGGGGTGTTGCCACGTCCATTCCGACTCATGGAACCGCCCCCTAGTGTTTTCTGGGTCGTCGTCTTTACCGGAACCGAGGGCCAGATCGTTCTCCTTCAGAGCTTCTGGGTGGGTTTGAACTACCGACCTTACAGTTAGCAGCTTCACCATTATGCCACCTTTCTCTTCAAGGTAACTGCTTACCTCTGATGTCGTTGTATTCTTTTTGAAAGAAGACCTTGGCTTTTTCTTCTAGTTTCAAACACAAACGAAAATTATACAAAGTGCAGCCCACTGGGAGGCCCCAAAGTTTGTTCTCTGTGGTCTGGGAAGAGTTCAGTATCAGTTGTTTACCAATTAGTGATCAAGTGTGGACTCCTGTCATTATCACTGAACACCCACCATGGGCTTGGCCGTGCACGTGACATGAGAGGTCCACAGACACCGTCAGCTGGTTCAGTTCCTGCAGGACAGACGGATGAGGAGCTGGGTGCAGAAGGGGTTGGAGCTGTGATTACTACTCGCAGGGTCTTGGGGGGGTGTGTGGAGGTCAAGGCCAGTGGGACAGCAGAGGGAGGGGACGTCAGTACAGGCTCCAGGTGGCACGTTGAAGGTGGGGATACTGCGTCTGGGAGCTGGTGTCTGGGGACAGAAGCACACTTGGGGTGTGGGGGTTGCAGGGCGCCCCGTTGGCCAGCGTAACCGTGCTCACAGGCACTGATGGAGGAGGTGAGGGGGTGGTGCTGGCAGGCAGGGCTCAGCTCCCACAAAGTAGGTGAGTGTGTGGCCATTGGCAGGGGCAGGCCACTGGTAGCTGCGTGGAAATTTGCATTTTAGAAACACAGCAGCGGCCATGGGGGTGGGACAGGAGCCCAGGCAGGGCACGGTGCCATCCTCACTGGGCACAGCAGTGAGGGTTGAGCTGGGCCCACAGGCCTCCAGTCAGTGGAGCCTGAGGGCAGGGCCCTGGAGCAGCCCCTCCTGACCCTGCAGACCTCTCTGTCCTTTAGTGATCGCAAAGAGCCTGTGTTTGAGCCGCACGGCAGGCTCTGCGGCCAAGTGCGGAACCTAACCACAAACCAGTGCCGCCTTAGAGCCACTCCCAGTTCCTGGCAGCGGGTGCCACGTTCACACCGGGCCTTCTTGCCCTCATCTTTGCTTCTGAGTCTGTGCACCTCCTGGGGCGGGTGTATGGACCCATCTTCAGTGGCAACCTGTCATCTGACGCCTCCCATAGCTATGGTCCCAGCGCAGTCCCCTTTGATCTGCAGCCCTGTGATCACACCTGCCTACTGATGCCTCGGCAAGCTTGGCCCCGACTGGCCTCTTATTAGGTTTCTGGGACCAGAGGGGGTCTGCAGCCGTTACCCCTCGTCCGTCCTTTCTCTAGCATCCGATCAGACCCACCTCGGCTCTTTGGGAAGCCCCTCCTGCCCTCCTGCCCCCACCACCCTGGGTCAACCCTGACCGTGTCTCCCTTATGCACCTTGGTGGCCCCTGGCTGTCCCTGTGTCCTGGCCAGACAGACATTCCTCCACCTAGAAGGCCCTCTCTCTCTTTTTTGAGTTAATTTAATTTTTAATTTTTATTGTGATTTGAGTGAAAGTTTATAGAGCAAATTCGTTTTCCACACAGCAGTTCATGCATATTTTGTTTCATGACATCGACTGCGATCCCCACAGTGCAACAGCTCTCCTCCCACTTCTCCTTATAGTTCCCTCTTCCATGTCCCTCTTCCCTGTGCGCTCCCGCCCCCTGAGCTCTCTCTGTGCAAACACTGCCCTTCTGTTCCGCCACGATTGATCGCTCTGAAGAGTCTATCTATGTGATGTAAATGTTCACGCCGCGTGCCCATCTACTGTTTGGCTGGAAGCCACAGGAGTGAGTTTAATTCCAGACCTGAAGGGCAGCAAGGGGCCTTAGTCTCAGGGGTTTCATCAGACTCCGTCAGACCAGTAGCCTGGTCTTTTTTTTTTAACGATTTTGAGTTTTGTTCCACATTGTTCTCCCACTCTGTCCAGGATCTCTTGCCCTGATCCCTTTCTGAGTGGCTGACAGTGGTAGCCGGGCACTGTCTATTTCTTTCGGTCTCACGGTCATACAGGTTGAGGATCGCATGGTGCGCTAGGCCCCTGGACTAGTTGTTTCCATGTGTCTTTGGTTTCCTTCATTCTTCTTTGCTGAGGACAGACGCATAGTCCAGGCAGCTGTCTCGTCGGTACTTCTGAACGCGGCCTCGTCGGCCTGGCGCCACCTCTTTCCTGTGTCCGCTCCCAAGCGGCCCCCTCACAGCAGGACAGCTGACTCCCCAGCACCCCCCGATGCTGCGCTGTGTCCAGCCCATGCCTTTGCTGAGGCCCCAGGCCTCCCCTTGGTCCCCTTGGTGACACGGGTGTCTCTGCAGTCCTCCTGCCTCTGTGGTACCACCCGTCGTGGGCCTGGCGTGTCACTTCCTGTGTCGTAGTGAAGTCATGTTTCCTGTTGTCCCTTGCACTTCTGAGCCAGCACCACGCTGAGGACAACGATCGTGTCTTGAACACACGTCCCCTGTTCAGCGCAGTAGCTGCTGTCAGAGCCAGCACGCGCTGGTGGAACGGAAGGACATACTGCTTGACAAGTGGCAGCGTACATTTGGTGACTCACACTTGAGTTTCCCATATTCGTTTTGCTCTGAATTTTAAAATGACATACGACCTTACTTTCTGCGTGTGGATTTTTAAGGAGACTATTAGCACAGTATCCTCAGTGCTGTGGGTTGGGTTCTGTAATGGGCCCTGAGATGACGTCTCTGCGGAATTCATGACGTAAGAGTGTGGTGTCCTTTCAGATGTCTGCTCCGTGCCCATCTCTGAGATCATCACCGTCGAAGAAGCCAACGTTAATGGGAAACATTGCCCCCGTGGAAAATGGCAGAAAATGGAAAAGCCTCATGGTTTTACAGGTAATAAACGCTGAACGTCCCCCACAGTGGTCCCTCGGTGCCCCACGGATTGCGGGAGAGGGAAATTTTTTATCACTTAGTAGACAGACTCCACATTTTCCTGACTTACCGTTAGCAGAGACCTCCCGAGATCCGCTTCCCCGAGATCGGCCGTTGGTGAACGTGTTGGGTGTTGCTCGTGTTTCTTTTCTTCACTTTCTCGTCCCCTGTATTTAACGTCCACGGAGCAATTGCCGCTGGCTTTGTTTACAGTGTCCGTGGTGTGGCTCATTTCCCGTGGGTCTCCCTCTGCACTTAATGTGGTTGTTGCCCTGCGTTTATCTTTGTTTCATCCCATCATTGTGACTTTGTTAGAGGCAATGTTCATTTGGGTTTATTCACGTTTTGACAAGTATAGTGTTTTCCAGATTTCTTTTTCTTATTTTTTGTTCCCTGCTGTTTAACTGGCACCTCTGGTGGCGTAGTACCTAAGGCATTTGACTGCGTACCAGAAGGCTGATGGTTCAAACCCACCAGCCGCTCCTCAGAAGGAAGATAGGGCCATTTAACGATGATGTTCCTAGATTCGTTCCTTTATATTTATGCTGCTTGCTTTGGTGGCACAGTGCCTAAAGTATTAGACTGCACACCAGAAGGTTGGCGGTTCAAACCCACCAGCCACTCCACAGAAGGAAGATTGGGCAATCAACTTCCATAAAGATTTACCACCTCAGAAACAGGGGGGGTCACTATGAATGTGAGTTATTTGTCCTGCTTGGGCTTTGGAGGGATTCTTTTTTTTTTTTTTTAATAAGAATTGGGGGAAAAATTTACAGAGTAAATTCACTTTTCATACAGCAGTTCACATATACTTTGTCTCATGTCATTGACCAAAATTTACAATGCAGCAGCTCCCCTCCCACTTCCTCCCCATAATTACCTTGGAGGGATTCTTAAGTCTGTTGATAAGTGTTTCTTTTTTTTTTCAGGGTACAAGATGTCCCATTTATTTATTGATTTTTAAATTTTTACTGTGATGTGGGTGAAAATTTATAGAACAAATTCATCTTTGCTTCATTAAAAAAAAAAAAAAAGGCTAAAAGATGGGAGAAACAGAATCTTTTTTCTGACATGTAATCTGTAATAGTAACCTTGGAAGTTACCAGCTAGTTAGAAGAAACGAGAGCAGCTGGGAAGTGTCTAGTTACGTGGAAGGAGCACGCATCTGAAGCACGCTCACGACTCCGTGCTCACGCCACGTGTGTTTGTTTCCGCGCAGTGCACTGTGTGAAGCGAGCTCGGCGTCACCGCTGGAAGTGGGCCCAGGTGACTTTCTGGTGTCCTGAAGAGCAGCTGTGCACCCTGTGGCTGCAGACCCTCAGAGAGCTGCTCGGGAGGCTGAGTAAGTGTGTGTGTGTGTGTGTGTGTGCGCGCGCACGGTCACAGGAGCGGCCGTCGCTGCCATGTCTGTGCGCCCGGCCCCTTTCCGTGTAGAACTTGTTCTAACTGGGGCACGTTTGATAAGTCAGTTCCAATTTTCTTTGTAACTAATTAGAGGGGCCAGAGCATCTAGGTCGGACAAACCATTACCACACTCAGCTGCTGATGAAAGGTCGGAGGTTGGAGGTGGCTCCCAGGAAAGGCCTGGCGATCTCCTTACAGACCAGTCCTTGAAACCCGACAGCTCTGCCCACGCACCGTGACTCGGAGCTGACTCAGTGCCGTCTGTGTTCTGTTTTGTTTTGCTGTTTTAATTGAGAGGCCCAGCATAGTGTGGGGGGAAGGGCGTCTGTTTCCAGAGTCAGGACACTGACATTGTCCGCCCCCACACCTTGCTACCTGGGAGACCTCTAGCAGTCGGTTAGCCTTCAGAGCCTCAGTTTCTTTTACTGAAGTTCTGGGATAGAAATACCTGCCGTCAAGGTGATGGGCCGATTAATGCAGGTGAGTGGAGGACTGCACCTTTTGTGCACCTGGGATGTGTCTGTACATCTGAGACGTAGCAGAACCTAAGAATGGTTATCGGTCACTACAAGTCAGCCTGCCACACTTAAAAACACGGTAGACGGCCATTCATTTTCTACCTACAAACCCATTTCTTGTCTGGTTATAATCTTAATACACAGTCCTGACAATTCAGGTACAAATTCAGCCACAGACTACAAACAGCATGTGTTTTTGGTTGGTTTTGATTCTTCCTGGATTAGTCGGATATCCAGATCGAGAGAGGGAACCGCTATTATTTGAACAAGGCATCTCCCTGCAGGGAGGTAAGTGTGTCAAGGATGTGTGTGGATGAGGTGCAGGGGCTTCGGATGAACATCCTGGCTTGAGGAAGCCCATCTTGGGGTTGTTGTCCAGGTTCCAGGACTTGGTCTCTGCATCTTGCTGTCTTGTCCTGGGTGACGCAGTCCTCTCTGCAAGTCCACATTGACGTCTCCTCCCATCTCAAACCTGTGCGAGCTCTGGGCCAATGCCTGTCCACCAGCATTTCTGAAGTAGTCGGGTCAGGAAGCGGCTTCCGTTTCTTCTCCTTCTTAGATGCCTCCACCCTCTCCCTGCCCTTCCCTCCTGTCTGCCTGTTTGTTTTCACAAGACTGGATGGAGTCTTTGGTTCAAGGAGTGATTCTGTAGCCAGGACTCCAGAGGACACCCTCTGACCACTGCCTCCCCCAGAGCCCATTGTGCACATTGTTGTCAGTGGCCAGGGAGTTGGCTCCACTTGTGACCCCATGGACAACAGAACAAAGCACTGCCTGGTTCTGTCCTACCCTCTGGATCAGTGATAGGCCACGTCCACAACACATGAGCTGTGTTCTCTGTGGTCCGTGCACGTCTCATAGGCTGACGTTCAGGAGTAGGTGCCCAGCCCTTTCTTCTGGGCCTTAGCCTGGAAGTGCCACTGACACCTGCCACCGTGGGTGACCTGCTGGTGCTTGAAACACCAGGCCTAGCCTCCCACCTCACAGCAACACACACGCCACCCCAGCAGGACGAGGTGCCCGATGGTGCTGGTGATACACATTACGCATATGTCACATGGAACCACGATGTGGTTCTGTGGCCTCATGCTCTTAGTCTCCACCCTCGTTCTGCTGTGTGTCAGGGCTTTATTGGGGGTGACGGGGGGACAGTGAAGTGCTCCATGTCCTGCACGCACACCCGGGTGATTGTCACAGCCGAGTGTGCTCGGAGAACCAGCACCCAGCTCGAGAGACAACACGCTCAAGCCCCAGAAGTCTCCCCCCACCACTACCCATAAAGGGGAGCCACTACCCTGACTCCTAATATCTGGGGTCGCCTTTGTCATCTGTGTGAGTGGAATCAGAACACGTGGATCCTTCTGTGTGTGGCCCTCTTTGGTCAACATTATGTTCGTGAAATTTATCCACAAGTGGCCCAAAGCAATGTGTGGTTGGGCGTGGTCATGCCAATGGCTGTGCAGAATTCTGTATTTCATGATGTGAGTTTAAACCCAAAACCAAACTCACTGCCATTGAGTCAATTCCGACTCACAGCGACCCCATTGGGTTTCCAAGTCTGTAGGTATTCATGGGTGCTACAACCTCATCTTTCTTCCACTGAGTGGCTGGTGGGTTCCAACCACACACCTTTTGGTTTGCAGCCAAATGCCTTAACCATTGCACCACCAGAGTTCCTGGTGTGAGTCTGTTTTACCGTCGATGGCCATTCTGATGGCTTCCTGATTTGTGTTCTCATGAATAACCCTGCTGCAGAGACCGTAGTAGGTGTTGTCTGGCAAACACGGGTTTGCAGTTCTCGTGGGCCTGCACCTGGGGATGGAATTGATGGGACGCAGACCATACATATCTTGCACTTGAGTCGAGGCTGCCAGCTGGTTTTCCAAAGCGGCAGTGCCGCCCAGCACTCCCACCAGCTGGCTGCTCCCTGCCGTGAGCACCTTTGGGACTGCAGCTGTTCTGGTGGGTGTTTGCATTTCCCTGATGGCTAACGAGGTCGAGAGACGCGCTCACATGCTGATGGGTCCCTCGACATCCTCTTTGTGAGATGTCTGATCACGTCTCCTGCCTGTGTTTCTGTTGGGCTTTCTCTTTTCCCATCTGCAGAACTCTGCGTGTTGTGGGTCCGAATCTTTGACTGCAGTTAGGAGTTGCAGGTATCTTTTCCCGTTTCGTGCATGCCTTTCATTCTCCTATTGGTGCCTTTTGATGAACAGAGGTTCTTCATTTTAACATGGTCCCATCAATCTTAGTGTTTTTTTAACTTCAGGGTTCGGCTGCATCCTATTGAAGACACACCTTTGTCACAGAGCTCTTCCCCTTTGTCCCCTCAAAGCTTTCTTGCCTGACCTTTCACCTTTAGATCTAGATACTGTTTGGGGCTGATTTTTGTACAGTGGTGGAAGGTAAGGGGCCGGGGTTCATTTCTTAACAAAATAGATACTGGATTATATATATAGATACCAGATTGTATATACAGATACCGGATTGTGTATACAGATACCGGATTGTATATTACAGATACCAGATTGTATATTATAGATACCGGATTGTGTATGCAGATACCAGATTGTGTATACAGATACCGGATTGTATATTACAGATACCGGATTGTGTATACAGATACCAGATTGTGTATACAGATACCAGATTATATATTACAGATACCGGATTGTATATTACAGATACCGGATTGTATACACAGATACCGGATTGTGTACACAGATACCGGATTGTATATACAGATATCGGATTGTATATTACAGATACCGGATTGTATATTAAAGATACCGGATTGTATATTACAGATACCGGATTGTATACACAGATACCGGATTGTGTACACAGATACCGGATTGTGTATACAGATACCGGATTGTGTATATAGATACCGGATTGTGTATACAGATACCGGATTGTATGTACAGATACTGGATTGACCCAGTGCCATTTATTGAGAAGACCATCTTTCCCCTTCTGGACTGTAGTGCCACTATTCTGGTTTTCACTTGTTTATTGTTTGTATATATAAAAAGGTTTGTGTGTTCAGCTTGCTTCCAGTGACCTTACTAGATGCACTTGTTGATTCCAGTAGTTTGATGGTTCATTTGGATTTTCTACAAACACCCATCTTACATCTGTGAATAATCACAGTTGTATTTCTTCCCCTCCCATTCTTACGTATGCCTTTAACTTCTTTCTCTCGTGGTGTGGACCCCAGTGCAGCAGTGACAGGAGGGACCTTTGTC